AGTTTCTGGTGATGTTTACTATGTTATTAGTCATTACAAGTACACTTTTCTTTATTTCATTGTCATAGTTATAGCTTCTTTCCAGTCCTTATCTGATAATTCCAACATTTGGGTTATTTTGTCGTCTGTTGAATACTTTTCCTTGGAGAATGGGTTACATTTTTAAATTCTTCATGTGTGGAGTAATTTTGGTTTATATGAAGAAATCACCCTTGTTTATCTCTTTTCTTGTTGATGAACATGTTTTGCTTACACTTTTGGGCCATTATGAATAATGCTGTTTTGAACAAATGTGTACACATTTTTGTGTGGACATGTGTTTTTATTTTGGGGGGGTATGTACTAGAAGTAGAATTGCTGGGTCATATGGTAAGTGAATGTTCAAGTGTTTTCCAAAATAACCGTATCATTTTGCATTCCAACTATGAATGTATGAATGTTACCTCAGTGTACTTTTAATCTGCATTTTTTTAACCCCAAGGAGTTGAGCCCCTTTTCATTTATAGCCATTTCTACTTCTTTTTCTTCAAATGGATACTGTCTTTTACCTTTCCTTCTTCCTTCCCTCCTTTCCTCTTTATTTCTTTCTCCCTTATCATCACCTTCTGGGTATCCTGTATATATTAAGGAGATTAATTCTTTGTCTTTGAGTACAATTTTTCTCTGTTGGTTTTCTTTTGGCTACTTTTGCTATGTTTTGTGAAGAAGTTTTTAATTTTTGCATAGTTGAAATATCAATCTTTTTTAGTGTCTGGTTTTTAAATTATAGTTAGAAAGCCTCTTCTACTCCAGGGTTACAAAGAAATTATCCTATATTTTAAAACTTACGGTTTAATTTTTCTTCCCTTTTAATCTTTGATGCATTTAGACTTATATTACTTCAGCATGTATGGTATAGTATGTACCCAATTTAATTTTTTTCCAGGTAGCTACAAATTATAGGTTTTTTTAAAAAATTTTGGTAAAATAACATAACATGAGAACATTGTTAAGTGTATAGTTTAGTGGCATTGAATATATTCACATTGTTGTGCAACTGTCACCTCCATCTTAACTTTTTCATCTTCTCAAACTGGAACTTCCAAACTGACTGGTATGTCCTACTTACTGTCTAAAAATTTGACGAGGTACCTTATATAAGTGGAATTATACAATATTTGACCTTTTGTGATTGGCTTATTTCACTTAGCATGATGTTCTCAAGGTTCATCCATATTGTAGCATGTGTCAGAATTTCCTTCCTTTTTAAGGCTAGTAGTCTACTGTATGTATTTACCACATTTTGTTTATCCTTTCACCTGACAATGGACACTTAAGTTGCTTCCTCCTTTTGGCTTGTATGCACAATATTGCTGTGAACATTGGTCTTCAAGCCCCCTGCTTTTTCTTTTGGGCATATACCCAGAAATGGCATTGTTGGATCCCATGGTAATTCTGTGAAGAATTATCATATTGTTTTCCACAGCAACTGTACCATTTACCTTACTACCAGGAATGTGCAAGGGTTCCAGTGTCTCCACAGTCTAACCAACATTTGTCCTTTTCTTTTCCCTCCCTTTCCTTTCCTTTCCTGTCCTTTCCTTTCCTTTCCTTAATAGCCAATCTAATGGGTATGAACTGGCATTTAATTTGGTTTTGATTTGTATTTCCTTAGTTATTAATGATGTTGAGCATCTTTTCATGTGTGTATTGGCTTTTTGTATATCTCTTTTTTGGAGAAATATCTATTCAAGTGCTTTGCTCATTTTTTAATTGTATTTGTTTATTTTGTGGTTGAGTTGTAGGAGTACTTTATATATTCTGGATATTAACTCTATCAGATAAAGATCTTCACTTAAAAATGAGTTCGCATCTGGATAAACCCATTGTAAGTTGGAAGTATCCTATGTCAAAAATGTATTTAATACATCTAATCTAGCAAACATCATAGCTTAGCCTAGCCTACTTTAAATATGCTCAAAACCTTACATTAGTCTACATTTGGACAAAAGCATCTAACAAAGTCTATTTTATAATAAGGTAATATGTAATTTATTGACTGCTTGTACTGCTAGTAAAAAACAGAATGGTTGTATGGGTACAGAGTGATTGTAAGCGTATTGGTTGTTTATTATGATCACGTGGCTGACTGGGAGCTGAGGCTCACTGCTGTTGCCCAGCATCACCAGATGTATCATACTGCATATTGCTAGCCCAGGAGAAGATGAAAATTAAAAATTCAAAGTACAGTTTCTCCTGAGTGCATATCACTTTTGCACCATTGTAAAGTCAAAAAATTTTGAGGTGAATCATTCTAAGTTGGGAACTGTGTGTATATGATTTGCAGATGTTTTCTTACATTCCATGGGTGCCTTTGCGCTCTGCTGATGGTGTCCTGTGGTGCAGATTATGATGGTGTCTAATTTATTTTTTTGTTATTGCCTGTGCTTTTAGCATCACATTCAAGAAATCATTGCTAAATCCAGTGTCATGAAGTTATTTGTCTATGCTGTTATGAATGTAGTGAAAATGATTAAATGTTTCCATATAGTTGATATGCTATAGGTAGCTATTTTTGTCTTTTTGGGAGGAGCACATTTATTTTGATTATGTATTGACCGTTCTGTATTATGTTCATTAGATTCTTCTTTTGGTGTTTGTTCTGAAAGTAATTTATTGCTGAATATGCTCAGCCTAGGGAATTTGATTTCGACCAGGGTTGGAATGTTGATTAATTTGGTGAACTTGATACATGAAGGTTTCCTTAAGGGAATTTCTTCTGTAATATGGTTTCTACTTCAAATATCTTACTGCCGTATTTGGGAGATGGTATTTATGCACATGAAAATAACAATATAGACTTGTATAGTGAGTGGTTGTTGAAAAAGAGTTTATTGAATGACTAATAGTTAAAATGATCAGGAAGGACTTCATGAAGGAGTCCTAAGTTGTGGTGGGAGCATTTTGAGAGGGTGCAATGTAAGCACAGATAACATGCGATGGGAAATTGCAAGTTATGTAGGGGAAAATGAGTAACAAGTGCAGTGTATTTTGAGCTGAGTTCATGGAAGCACATGATGGGAGACACTTAAAAACTTTAATTGTGGCTTATTGTGAAGTACTGTAATATTCAGCTGAAGGAATCAGAATCATGTAATATTTTTTTTTTATCTGAAAGGGACTTTAGGAATTACAATGAATTAATCATTTTATAGAAATGGGAACAAATTTGTACTTAAATTGTGGGCAGTACAGCTTCATTTGAAGATTTTTGAATTAGGCAATGATTTTTAGGGTGATTATTCTTTGTAGGGGTCATAGAATTGGAAGTAAGGTATTCTCTTCTGTTAGGGCATTGCATATAATGACTTGAACTGCTTGGTGACTAATGGCAAAAAAAGTGGAGGGATTAGATGAAGGAATAATTAGGTATTAATCCTTTCACTAAGTGTTAAGAGAGTAGACTTTTAGAGTGTTGTGGCTCAGACAGTTTTAGAGTGTCTTGTTTTTTATGTCTTTATTGTAGTAAGACGTAAGTCAGTTCCGTTTGTCTCCTGTAGGGGCAAAGTATACTGTTGGAAGGATAGAAAAGTTTTCAGAGTGGCAGTAATACTTAACTTGAATTTTGTAGGATGGGTAAGAGTTTAGCAGCTGCATTCAGTGTTGAAAGGGGAGCATCTCCTGTAGTTGGAACAGTGTTAATAGTGGTTCCGTGGCATGAAATGAGTTGGTCTGTCCAGAAACTGTTAGCAGTTTTATGGCTAGGGAGACTGGTGTAGTGTGTCAGGGCTGCTGGGAAAGGTGGTCAAGAGGCAAATATTAAAGGAGCTCTTTTCTGTGCCTTGCAAAGAAGTTTTGTTTGTTGGTTTTTTTAAACGTGGACAGTGGGGAATCTTGGAAGAGGTTTAGTCAGAGCATATCCTGTTTGGATCAGTTTATGTTTTCTACTTATTTTTAGTGATTTAGCATATTTGGCACTCTAAGTTCTTGAACTTAGTTTTGGGACTAAAATATCCCCCAAAGAGAGCTTTTTTCCCCCTCCTCCTTATATTAGGGGAAAAAAAAAAGTTCTGCAGATATTATTAGAATCCAAGAATTTCACAGCAATTTACCTGCCTGCTCTTTAGCAGTGAGTTTGAATATGGAATAATATAAAATGTGACTTTCTCTTTAAAGCCTGCTCATAGTTAATAGGTTTTCATGCATAGCCACAGAAAAAGTCCAGCTGTCTCCTATGTAGCCCACAACAGGCTGCTTATTAAAGCTCAGTTTTTATAGTTCCTAATCATCGTTACCATTATTTTCCTATTTTAAGATTATAGGCTGAATCCACTGTGGCAAAACATTTAAAAATTACAGTTATTTTGAATAGTAATTCATTCAGATGGTATGAGAAATATTTAATAAAAAATCTCCTTATCACTCCTGCCTGTCACCTACCCAGTTCATTCCCTGGAGACAAGCAAAATTAGTGTTGCTTTATATTCTTCCAGAGATATTCTGTGCCTGTACAATCAAATATATTTCATATGTTCTTACCGCTCTTCCTTACTTTTGTACAAATATAGCATACTTAAAACATTGTTCTGTCTCTTGCTTTGTTCGATTAACAATACATTTTGGAGATTGTTCCATATTAGTCCATAAAAAGCTTCTTCAACCTTTTTTAATAGCTGCATAACATTTTAGCATATTTAACTAGTTTCTCATTTCATGTTTATTTTTAGTCTCTTGCTGTTATAAGCAAGATTGTAGCAAATGGTCTTGTTATATGTTATTTCAGGTATGTATGAGTATCCCTGTAGGATCAGTTTGTAGAAGTAGAATTTCTTGTTAAAAGCTGTGGGTATAATTTGGTATAGCTTTGGAAAGTAGGGATGTTTAAATGCATTGAACCTATAGAATTTTGTATATTTACTCACAGTGGAATCTCACTTCATAACAAATGGAAATCTGAGAAATAAGTTCATAATCGCTAAGATATTAGTGAAATCGTCATAATTCTCCTTTTCGTTTTGCAGGTATACAAAACTAGGATATGCTGGAAACACAGAACCACAGTTTATCATTCCTTCCTGTAAGTATTCTTTTAAGTCACAAATAAGCTGATTTAAAGATCTTTTTCGTAATACAGTAAAAGATAATTGTTTCTGACACTGTATAAGATTTAGTCCTTTAGAAACATGGTTTGCTAAGTGTGACCTCATTTCCACACCTCTCACCATTCATGTTAGCTCTTTAGTTCTTTGTTTACCAAATCTACCAAATGTCTCTTTTTAAAGACAAAAATAAATGAGCTGATAAGTAAACAATTTTTTGCTTTGAGGATATTGCTGTTAACAGTGCATGGATGTACATATTAAGTAGTGCATCCTCCATCACATACATATGAAGACTCTTCTTTGGTGTGTGGACGTGATTACCGTTTGCCAGGCTTAGGCTTATTGACATCCCTGATGAGAGTCCATGTTTCAAAAGAAGGATGGCATCTTATTTTTAGAGATGTTGACTTTAGCTGTTTTTTAGTATCTTATAACCATACTTAAGTTGTGTTTGTTCTGTCCTCTTGTTAACTTCATTCTGGCCTGGCCATTGACTTTCAGTAGTTTGTCAGTAGTTTTTAGAAGTACTCTCACACTTGGTTTGTTAGTGTTCTCATTTGTTAGCATGGATTATGTATCTCGTTCTTGATGGACATACTTTTGTACTTTAGACTTTCAAACAGTTTACCTTTCATACATTATATAGTAGTACCTCTGATCTACTTGTCCTACTGCCATATGAAGACTTGAAATTATCAGATGAAAAACGTTTGGAGCCATTGCTTGGTGATGCTGACTCCTAGAGTGTCACCAGTTTTACACATGAGTTTATGTGACTGAATATTTTTGTGCATTGTATTCTTCTTAATTTATGAAAATAAGGAAATGGAAAAATGAACATGTAGGGATAGTAGTGAAAACAGCTTAGGTTTCAAATCAGTGAAGTTGAGAGCAAGGTAGAAATTACTGGGCTTGTCAAAAACTGCATATCTTTAGTTTCAAATGGGCACTCATTGGACATGAATAGGTCAGTGGTTTTGTAATTAATATAGCAAGGACAAAAACGTGAAATATGGGAAATGCATTGTCAAAATTGTATTTAAAAGGGGAGCTTATACACACACACACACACATACATACATGTATACACGTGTGTATATATTTTATTTTTTTAATTTTAACTCTCCAGTAACAAACCTGTTTGGACTTTGTACTTGTGATATACTTTTAGATACTTAACTACGAATTGATTATGTAAGAACTTAGGCTACTACCAAGTGGTACAAAATTCCAGTTATAAAATAAGTAAGTCATGGAGATGAAAAGTGTACAGCATAGAGAATATAGTCAATAATACTGTAGTAGTATTGTATGGTGACAGATGGTAACTACACTTAACCATGGTGAGTGTTGAGTAATGAATAGAATTGTTGAATGAGTGTGTTATATACCTGAAACTAGTATAACATTTTATGTTGATTATACTTCAATTAAAAACAAAACAAAAGAATTAAGGCTACTACCTAAATCTAATTCTTTAAAACATAGAATGGATTTTAGGTGACACTGATGAAATAGCTCATTCACATGACTATAGTGGTCTTAGTTTAGTGGTACTATTGTATTTTCCTTATGTTTTATTTATGCATGTTTGTTGTCTACTTTGAAAGACAGGTGTGTGTGTGTGTGTTTTAACTTTTCCTCCACATTTGTGTATCAGTATATTGATTGTTCTTTATTTTAAGAATTTGATGACAAATACTAGCTTTTTTTCTGACTAATATGGAATACTTTTGTGGACTTGTACTTGACTTCAGTTATATTTGAGTTTAGTGTTAGAATCTTAGGTATGTTTATATTAATTTCCTAATCCTAAGGCCACCATAACAAAGTACCAAAAACTGGGTGGCTTAAAACATTAGAAACTTACAGTTCTGGAGGCTAGAAGTCCAAAATCAGGGTGTCAGCAGGGCCATAATCTTACTGACAGTTCTAGGGGAGAAACCCTCCTTGCCTCTTCTAGCTTCCCATGTTTGGTGACAATGCTCGGTGTTACCTTGTGTATGCATCACTCCAGTCACATGACTGTCTTCTCCCTGTCTTCACATTGTCTTCTCTGTGTGGCTGAGTCCAAATTTCCTTTTTTGTGAGGACAGCAGTCATAATGGATTAGGGCCCACCCTAAAAATCTCATTTTAACTCAAAAGACCCTATTTCCAAATAAGGTCACATTCTGAGGTACTGGGGGTTTGGACTTCAGCATACCTTTTGGGAAGACAGTTCAACCCATAAAATGCCAATTTTGTTATTTCATAATTTATAATCTTTTATAAGGTTATGTTGTGATTAAACATTTATTTCATGAGATTACTGATGTTTTATGTTCTTAAGTGGCTGTGTTGTCTTTGTTGGAGACCCATATAATCTTGATCTTTTGAACCTTAGGATTTTATCACCATTGTATCCAGTCTCTATTTTCATCTCTTTGCTAAAATGTGCAATTTTAGTTTTCATTGTCTTTCTTATGAGAAGTTGCAGCATGTTAAAAATCCATTTTCCTGCTGAAAGAAGATTTTTGATTTTGGAGTTTTTTTCCACCAGTTTTAATGCTGCAAGTCCAGTGTTTAACCAGCAAATACATACAGTTGATTGCCACTGATGAGCATGGATATTTGATCTGGAAAGCCTGTTTATATGGTTCAAGGTTATTTGCATACATCTTTGTTTTTCAGGAAACTTATAGTGAGCCATCTGGATGTCTATGTACATTATAAATAAATTACTAGAGAAGCTTTCTAAAATTTTGAAGGAGTAGACTGGATTTAGAATGTCATTCATTCAGTATTTTCTACCCATCTTATTAGGGATATAATTGTTATTAAATGGAAGTGTATTTAAGTGCATGCAGATAATTATTTTGAATGAATGACTGCTTTACTTGATGGATTCAGAAATTTATAACTTAATTAAAAATATATAACAGGTTTTAGGTCAAGAACTGTGTGCTGGATTTCTGAAATTATTCGAGGGGAGTATTGTGATTTTTACCTAAATGATTTGAAATTTCCCTTTGTATATGTGATTAAAGTTTAACAGAACCCTATGCCAGTGTTATTTTTAAATTACCAGTCCATAATAGTGCAAATAGAAGAAAGCTTTTTTAAAAAAAAATTCTCCTTGCAGTTTTCCCATATTCATTTGTTAGTGTTTCCAGTTTTTTCTTTCTGATTGTCCATTAAGCATATATTGACTTGGTGGGATTATAATTTTACTCAAATCGAAATAGATCTTACATAGTTTTAAAAAATACAACTGAAACATTCCCACAGCAGTACTCTTTTTTGGCCTTTTACACTTGAGGCCTTGTCTGTGTATGGAAGTTGAGATTTCATTGTGTTAAATGAATTTTGTCATCAATTTTTTAAATGACCTCTGTGCTTTAACAGTTTTAAGTGTGTTAGATCATGTTTTGTTTAGTAATACTTTATAATGGAAGAAATAGAAGTTAAAATTCTGTCTCATTTGAAAAAAGCAAACTTTGACATGTATAAATAACTTTTATTTTTGAGGTATTGCTATTAAGGAGTCCGCAAAAGTGGGTGATCAAGCTCAAAGGAGGGTGATGAAAGGTGTTGATGACCTAGACTTCTTTATTGGTGATGAAGCAATAGAAAAACCTACGTATGCAACAAAGGTATATTTTTATGATTTGTAAAAATAGTATTTTCTTTTAAAACTTAGTTTGTTTGGGATGCCTGGGTGGCTCAGTCGGTTAAATGTCTGCCTTCGGCTCAGGTCATGATCCCAGGGTTCTGGGATTGAGTCCTGCATCGGTCTCCTTGCTGGGCAGGGAGCCTGCTTCTCCCCCTGCCTGCTTCTCCCCCTGCTTGTGCTCACTCTCTCTCTCTCTCTCTCACAAATGAGTAAATACAATCTTTTAAAAAAATTATTTCAGTGATTGTGGCATCTGGAATTTTACTCCGTTACAGGCCTGATACCCTCAACCTCTTCACCAGAGAAATTTCTTTTTCCCTGTAGCTTTTCCCAATCTTGCTTTAACTCTTTTTTTTTTTTTTTATCCTGAGAGGAAAATTTTCACTCACATGAGCAGTATTTACTTTTCCATACTCACTAGATCTCAGAGCTGTCAATGCGAGTGGCTTTCTTTTACCTCCACATTGCCGTATCTAGAGACATGTTTAGTTTTGAATGTTATGTTTGAGGTACCTGAGAGACATCTTATACATTGTTAGGCAGTCAAATAATGTGGCTCTTGGAGCTCTGAAACAGGACAGCTGGAGACAAATACTTGGAAGATATCAATAAACTTCTAGAAAGGATGAAATTAGGGGAATGTACTTGGGAAGAGGCCCAAGATGGGGCCTGTTCAATGTACCAGTTAGGTTTGGATAGAAAAGGAAAAGCCTACAAAGGAGACTGAGAAGCCGTGGTTAGAGAGCCTGGGCTAGACAGGAAGGAATGTAAATAGTGTGGAATCTATCAAGTAAGCTAGAGCCCATATATTACTTACTGTCTTTAGCTGCAAGGATGTCATTTGTAACCTTAATAAGAATAGTTTTAGAAGAGTGAGAACCCAGTGAGGCTGGGTTCAGGTAGGTTGGATTGTGAATGTTAGGCCAGGAAAAAATGACAGTAATGTTCAGTGAGGTTTCGCTGCAGTTGGGAGGCAAAGATAGTTGAATAGACAAGTTGTGGGGTTAAGATGGAAGAGATGTTTAAATGCTAATGTGAAAGAGCCATTAGATTTAAGTAACAGGAAAGATGGAGTCCAGTCCAGGTCTCTGAGAAAGCTAGAGGAATGGGATCCAGAGCACAGATGATCTAATTGATATGTGGAGGGTCTCTTACATTATAAAGAAGTGAAACGGATAAGTATGGAATCAGTTTTATAGATTTGGTGGAGGAAGGTCGGATTCCTGACTTTTGGCCTCTGCTTTCTCTGTGAAATACATGGTGACATCATCTCTGCTGCCCAAGGAGTCGGGGGAGAAGGTGAAATATGAGTGATAGGACATTTAAAATTATCATTGTGAAGAGTGAAGATGAACAGAGTAGCGAAATAAAGACTTGCCGCACAAAGTTAGGTTCATTTGAGAATAGCAATTACAAATTCTTAGTTTTATCCACCTAGTTATGTATGTGCCTTCAGTGTAATCAGCATTCTGGGTATAGGCAAATTTAGTGAAGTGTCATGCTAGGTTGGGTTTTGATAGGTGGAATAACAGAAGGAAATATGAATACTCAGAGTGATGGAGCATAAAATCTAAACTCTGTGTGTGTGTGTGTTTGGGCAGGTTTGATGGCTAGGGAATAAATAAATAAAAGCCAGTGGACTGCAAGTCTAATTGTGATCAGGAGTATAGTGGGCTGCTAGAGTATGGTAGGAGGAGAAAAGGTAGTAATCAGAGAGGGTTGAATTTGGATTTTAGGAATTTAGAGATGTAGTAGTGATACTAAGATCTAAACTGCAGCCAAAATGGAAAAGAAATTTTTGAAGGTGATGAAGTCAGTGAGCTAAGAGGCCAGAGTTTTTCTTCACTGATTGTGTTCTCTTAAACACATTTTTAAGTCTTCCAAATGCTACAAAAAAACCAAACAGTAAAACTTCTCTCAATCTTTATGTGTACTCCTTTTCCTCAGCCTTTTAGCTATTGTTTTTCTCTTTCTTTTAAAACCAAACTTCTTGGGGTACCTGGGTGGCTGAGTCGGTTAAGCATCCACTCTTTATTTCTGCTTAGTTCATGATCTCAGGGTCCTGAGGTTGGGTTCAGTGGGGAGTCTGCTTGAAATTCTCTTCTCCCTCTCCCACTCCCCCTGCTCACTTGAGTGCTCTCTCTCCCTCTCTCTCAAATAAATAAATAAAATCTTAAAAAAACCCCACCAAACTTCTTATTTAGTTTCAGATTCTTTGAGCACAGATTATTATTAAGCTCTTTGTTAATCCCATTGTGTATAATAATCTTCATCCTTCTTGACTTGTCTATCACAGGATTGCTGTGATGATTCTCTTCCTAATATTTACATTATGTATTTTAATTGAACCGTCTGAAAATATGTTGTGGGAATAATTTCATTGATCTCTAAATAGTAAAGTATGCGTCTCCTAAGGATGATCTACAGTGTCATTAAATCACACCTGAAAAATGCTGTCCTGATTTAATATTCTCCATTTTTTGGTAGTTTTATTTACTTTTGACATTAATAAGATTTCATTTGTGTTTTGTTTTAATAGTGGCCAATTCGCCATGGTATAGTTGAAGATTGGGACTTGATGGAAAGGTTTATGGAACAAGTGATCTTTAAATATTTAAGGGCAGAACCAGAAGACCATTATTTTCTTTTGGTAAGTACAAATTACAATTTCACCAAGGACATTTTTGAAGAAACAATGAGAACGTTTTCATCACATCTGTACTCACTAGGGCATACTTTGTCGTTTATTATCCTGTGTCTAAAAGACTTTGTTATAATGCTGTATTGTCTTTAAGATCATCCTGTTCTGGGTTTTAGTAGAGTTGTAATATGTTGAAGCAACAAGGTTTAGGCACTTAGAAAGTGCTTTTCATAATTAATATGTAATCTTTATGATAGGAACAGTAAGATTCAAAAAAAGTTGGAAATATGGCGCTTCGCTTTTTTTATTGAACTGATGTATTATTTCACTAGTAATTCTTGGCAAGAAAAATACAATGTAATTTTTAAACTTTTCTTATTTTTATCAAAGCAATGAATGTTTATAGCTTACAAAAATCAAATGCTGTAAGATTTAAAACAAAAAAAAATAGCACTCTCCTTCCTCACCTTTCCCAGCCTTTGATTCATATTATCTAGAGACACTTTGGATTTTTAAAGAGCTTTTTGTGATAGTTATCTCACAAATTTAAACATCTTTTCTATTTCTTGTTTGTTTATTTAAATATTAGACACTACCTACTGACTTCCTAAGTAGGAAAAATGAGGCTTTTGTTTCTTTTACCCTCCTTCTCAACACAGAATCCTTATGTTCTCCCCCTCTCTACAGTATAGTTATATGAAATGTACATTCTATATTTTATTGTTATTTGTGAATATTGTTTATGGGTAGACCACATAAAGTTGAAAGAATTTTACAATAAATGTACACAACCTAGACTCAAGTATTAATTTTATTATAATTGCATAAGATATCAGGTTATCCATCACTTCATCTTATATTTTTAATTACTTCAGAATGAGTTTGCAGATAGTTTCACCCCTAAATACATTAGCATGTGTATCATCAACTAGAGATCATTATTTGTTTATAGTTCTTTTATGTATGTAAAATTCACATGCTATAAAATGTATAAATCTTAACTCTACCATTCTGTGGGTATTGACCAGTCATTGGCATACTTTCTCTGAAGGTCCAGATAGCAAATATTTTTGGCTTTGAGTGCCATCTGGTCTCTGCAGCTACTCAGCTCTGCTGTTGTAGCAGGAAAGCAACCTTAGATGATACCTGAATGTGTTCCACTAAAATTGTATTTACAAAAACAAGTGGTGAGCTGGATTTGTCTTATAGGATGCATGATACAATTTGCCCATCTCCTGGTTTTAACAGATGCATACATCGGTGTAACCTAAACCCTTATCAAGATATAGAACATTACTATCAGCTTGGAAAGTTTTCTGATGCCCTTTCCTGATTAATTCCTGCCCCTGTGCCTAGAGGCAACCACTGTTCTGATTTTTTCTAGCACAGATTGGTTTTGCCTATATTTGAGGTTTATATAAATGGAATTATACAAGATACGATCTTTGGTAAGACTTCAGCATAATTTTTGAGACTCATCCACATTGTTGCATATACCAGTAATTTGTTGCTAGATCATATTCTATTGTATGAATATGCCTCCCTATCCATTTTCTTGTTGATGATTACCTGGGCTGTTTCTAGTTTTTGACTGTTAACGAATATTTTGGTTATTGTGAACATTCTTATACAAGTCTTTTTGTGGACATGTTTTCATTTGTCTTATATAAATACCTAGATATCTAATTGCTGTGTCATAGGGTAGGTGCTTCCAGGACTTTTTCCAAGGGGTTGTCCTTTTTGCACACCCACCAACAATGTGTTAGCAATCTGGTTGCTCTACATTCTATCCAGTGTTTGGTGTGTCAGTCTTTTTAATTTTAGCCGTTCTGGTGGGTGTGTAAGATTTCTCATTTTGGTTTTAATTTGCATTTTCCTGATGACTAATGATGTTTTATTACATTTTTTTATGTGTTATTAGCTATTATTATATTTTCTTTGGGAGGTCTTCTGATTATATTTTATTTTATATAGAACTTTTGTTTTTCTTAGAGTTTATAATTTAACTGCCTTAGTTTTTTCAGTTTGCTTAATTTTATATGTATCTATCACTAAATTATCTCCAAAGCCTTGAACATAGTTCCAAAACTCTTTCAAATAAGTTTAAAACACATCATGTAGTTTAGCTATTAAAGATTTTACCTAGGCACAAAGTCTACTCCCCATTTTCTTTAAAAACCTTACAGTATTTTAGTGCAAAAAAACCCCAAAACACCTTATAGTATTTTTTTAAATTAACAAAAAGATTTAATTTTCAATGAATTCAGGTTTTATCCATGTTTCTCTGTAATTTGTGCTCTTGAAATTTAAAGAATCATTCTTACCTCATGGTCAAAAACATCATTCTTCTGTTTTTATGAAATTTAAAAGTTTTTGCCTTTCATTTTAAATATTTGAGATAACAAAAAGAATGGTCAAATCAGATTTGTAAGAATCAGAGGTCTTACCCAGTTTCAAGCTTTAATAATTTAAGTGATTTAAGTAATCACGAGACATAAGGGAAACATGAAGTTCAGGATTGCAAGTACTGTTTCCTCAGTCCTCTCTCACCTCATTAGAATGTGTTCTGGCCCAGACTTAATCTGCAGGTTTCTAAATGATGTATGTGGTCATATAAACTGAAGAGAACTATGTAAATATCTCCAATTTAATACTCTTTAACAGTTATATAACTTAAATAACAGTTTCCAAGAAGCATGGCATAAATTTGTAGAATCTTGGCTTATTTACTATAGTTATAAACAGACCCGGTACATCCTGCTGAAAACATTACAATATATAGGTGACAATTCTGCTGCTAGAAACACCATTGGTATGTCTCCCTGAGGATCTGTCATTACCCTTTTATAAGCTGATTTGACTAGGTCTCCTTTCTCTCTCTCTCTCCATTCCTTTTATCAGTGTTTAATGATGTAATGTAGGAATTTGGTTTCTTTTTTTGTGTGAATAACTATACTATTTTCATATATGCATAGATCTGTTTGAGTTCTTTATATAGTTTTTCTTTGTTCTATTTGTCTATCTTTGTATCTCTAAATTTAAGATTTTTAAATAAAATTTTGACATAAATTATTTCTTATTTAAAAATTGCCTAAAAGTTGTCAAAATAATCTGATCTTGTCGATTTAAAATGTTACTCAATTTAATAGACTGAACCTCCACTGAATACTCCAGAAAACAGGGAATATACTGCTGAAATAATGTTTGAGTCCTTCAATGTTCCAGGCTTGTACATTGCTGTGCAGGTAAGAAAGTTCACAAGTCAGGATAAGCTTGACTCTTGAATTTTTATCTGGTTTAATTCACTCTTAAAAATATATTTTTTATGACCTCAAAGCATATCATAGTTCTCTCCTGAATCAGTAATTTAGAAATCATAGGAAATTGAGTTAGTCAGCAAAAGAAATGTTGAAGGAAGTAAGTTAATGATCTTTAGATAATTCAGAGCTTTTCATGGGACAGAAATAAGGGTATTAATATTTATTGAATGTTTATTCCACATCAAGAACTTTATATACATATTCATTTATCCTTGAACCATTTGGTGTGTCCTTTTTTCATAGTTTGTTTTGATTGACTGATTTACTGCTAAGTATATTTGACCACCTTCTCCTTTGTGCCCCTCTGTATTCTGTGTATCATAAATCCCTGTAATATTTTATTGAACTTACTTTGTAAATGTATTTTCATGGAATGGCTTCTCTCCCACCTCTCAGGATCACAGCTCACCTCTTGTTTTTTAACCCTGTAGTGAATGTGATGCCTAGCATATCACAAATGCTTAATAAGTATGTAAACTATTGTATAGTTCTCTTAGGTAACAATGATTATGATGTGTGATCCTGTGTTAAAATAGGAGGATGGCCTAGATAACTTTCTAGGTCCCTTTCAGCTATTACATTGCAAGTAGGTAAAAGTTTAGCTCTGTTTTTAATTATTGGCCATGTATCTTGTTGGAGGCTTGGATTGTATGAAATTCAGTTTTTAAAAAATCAGTTAGCTGTGTTAATTTCTTAATTTGTAAACTTAAAAAAAGAATGGTACTTTATTTCCCATGCCAGTCTTTTTCATAGAAAAATGTAATTTCATCAACTTTGTTTCCTATTAAATCATATTTAGAAGTGTATAATGGCTTTTTCTGTGGTTAAATAACTTGTTATATATTCCTAAATGCATGTTGCACTTAGAAAATTTGGAGCTAATCTTATGATAGAGATACTTGTTTATAGGCATCTGTGTGTGGAATAAATGGTGATTGGGTGTTTGTGTATTTCTTTACTTACACTTTGTGGTTTGTATACAGGTTAGCCCATATAAACATAATTTTAAGTCCTGGCAATTTTAGTACTGTGATACTTCATGTTGGTTTTCCCCATTTTGACCCTTGTAAAAACATGGAATATTTATAAATATGCCCCTAAAAGTAAATATAAGCCTGTAAGTTTGTCTTAAAATGTAGGATGTGAATAGTTTTATTGAATAATGTAAATGAGTTTTGTGTATTGTCTTGCCAGAGGTGACTATAGTTGACCCTTGAACAACACAGGTTTGAACTGCATAAGTCCACTTATATGCAGATTTTTTTCGATAAATAGAGTACTATAAATGTTTGGCTTCCTTACGATTTTCTTAACATTTTTTTCCTCTAACTTATTTTACTGTGAGAATACAGTATATAATGTAACATACAAAATGTGTTAATCGACTGTTTATGTGTTCTGGTCAACAGCAGACTATTGGTAGTTCAGTTTTTGGAGAGTCAGAAGTTATACTTGGATTGTCAGCTGCTTGTGTTGGAGGGATCAGTGCCCCTAACCCTGGTGTTGTTCCAGAGTCAACTGTACATTTAAAATTGAAGTACTCTGTGAAATATTTTTTTCTATTAACTCTTTGTGCTTGTTTTTATTTTTTTGCCTGTCACATTTCTTTTTGTCTAAGGCTGTTCTTGCCTTAGCTGCATCTTGGACCTCAAGACAAGTAGGAGAACGGACATTGACCGGTACAGTAATAGACAGTGGAGATGGTGTCACCCATGTCATTCCTGTGGTAAGGATATTTTAAAATTACCAAATAGTCCTATCAGATAACAAATCTGGCAGAGTTAAATGATATGAATTAATGCTACTTTTAAAAAAATTTTAAATATTTGAGAAGTTTACTCTGGCCATTTGTTCAGCTAGGGCTGTATTTTGTTCATATTAATATTAAAATTCTATAAACAAATTCCAAAATCTTCCTTTGTTATTAGGTTGGTACTGTAATTAGAATATGATTTAAAAATATTAGAAATTGTTTCTAATTCATAATTAGAAAATGTTGGAGTAACCAGAATGGAAATATGCCTTTTTTTTTTTTTAAGATTTTATTTATTTATTAGAGCACGAGCGAGAGCATGAGTGGTGGTCGGTGGGGGAAGAGGCAGAGGGAGAGGGACAAGCAGACTCCTTGCTGAGCAGGGAGCCCGATGTGGGGGCAAGATCCCAGGACCCTGGGATCAGGACCTGAGCCGAAGGAAGACGCTTAACTGACTGAGCCACCCAGGCGCCCCTGTGCCTTTCTTTACATTTATGTATGTATGTATGTCTTGAAACAATTTTTTTTTCTTTTTTCTTTTCTTTTTTTTAATTAACATATAATGTATTATTTGTTGCAGGGGTACAGGTCTGTGATTCATCAGTCTTGCCTTTCTTAAACATGGAATTCTGTCTTCTGGTTTGGCTGTGTCTGTGTTGTATGGGTTAGCCAGTTGATAGTCTCTCTTATCCTTAATTAACAGATTTCAGTTTGGTGCATAGGTTAACTAAATAACAGTTTGTTATAAGCACGTGGCCATTAATGACTTCTGGGAATTATTTTATTTTATTCATTTTATTTTAATTAAGCTCTACGCCCAGTGTGGGGCTTGAACTCATAACCCTGAGATCAAGAGTCACATGCTCTAATGACTGAGCCAGCCGGGTGCCCCTGGAAATTATTTTTTTGAATAAAAAGCTCGAGTTATGATCGTACTTTATGGTTTGGATTTAGTAAAGCCTATTAAGAAAAATGCACCAGATTGGATTATTTGTTAGAGATAGCATTTTTTCTGCCAAGGCCCTTGTGCTTCCAATTCTTAATGACAAATTAGGGTTTTTATTTTGCCTAATACACTAAAAATGACTACTTGGAATCATACTGATAGTATTAGATATATAGAAAGGTTTATCTTTTAAAATTTTTATATTATATTGACTATCCTGTAAGAAATGAAATTATTTTGAACTTTTATTTCTTCATTACTAGTCATTCCTATTTTTAATGCATCACGCAACCTCTTTTGAGAATTATATACTCAGGGTGACTACTTTTAGATTAGATGTCATAATCTACCCTCCCAGTGTCACAATAGTTTCAGTAATAATTGCCCCTTTTTTAGTAACAGCTTTTTTGTGATATAATTTACACACCATGTAGTTCACCCATTTAGAGTGTATACTTAAGTGGGTTTTTTTATATTCACAGAGTGCACCCATTACAACACAATTTTAGAACATTTTTATCACTCTAAAAAGAAACCCTGTATCTGTTAGCAGTCAGTCTCCCCCTGATAACCTTAGCCCTGGCAACCACTCATACACTTTCTGTCTCAATAGATTTGCCTTTTCTGGACATTTCATGTAAATGGAAATCATACACTTTGTGGTTTTCTTTTGTGACTGGCTTCTTTGATGAGGCCTAAAGTTTTCAAGATTATCCAAGGTATAGCATGTATAGTACTTCATTTCTTATTATTCCCAAATAATGTTTCATTCTATGGCTATACCAGATTTTATTTTGTCATTGGGGGATATTTTAGTATCTTGGAAATTGGGATGTGTCCAATATTTCATGTATTTTTTTTATAGTTCAGTTTTCTTTATTAGGTACATAGAGATTCTTAAGATTTTCATTTAAACCTCAGAATCTATAATGTAGGTTATATTGAAGACCTCAGTTTATCCATTAAAAATGCAAATAAATGAATTGCTTTAGATCACCAAATAGTAGGTTTTGGAGCTAGGATTCAAACTGGTTCTGTCTGACCCCGGTCTTAATATCTGCACAACTAATCAGTAATATCAGTATCTTGATAATATTCAAATAGGTAATTTTCAAATATAAGTTATCAACATGAAAAAGAATGAATTTTTATAAGGATATTAAGAATTGGATATTTCTGTGTTTTGTTCTTTTTTTCCTTTTGCTTTCTTTTGAATTAATGGAGTATTCTTTCATAATTCCATTTTATCTTTATTGACTTATTAGCTGTGTTCTACTTCTTTGTTATTGTCATTTGCTTATTTTTTGGTGGTTGCTCTAGGGTTTATAATAAACATCTTTAATTTATAATCTAACTACAAATAATCTATTTTATAAATAGGAAGTGTACAACAATGTACTTCCCTTTTGCACTATAATGGTCACTCATTTTATTTCTACATGTTACAAACTTATAGTGCATTATTAATTTGTTTCATTGTAAGTAGTATATTAGTTTTGTTAGGGCTGCTATAACAAAGTACCACAGACTGAGTGGCTCAAACAATAGAAAATTAATTTTTTCACAGGTGGAGGCAATAAAGTCAGAGATCAAGATGTTGGCAGGGTTGATTTCTTTTGAGGCTTCTCTGTGTCTTCTCTCTAGGTGGCCTAATTTTCTCCATTCGTCTGCACATGGTCTCCTTGTGTGTCTGTGTCCTAATCTCTTCTTTTAAGAACATAAATCATACCAGATTAGGATCCACTCTAATCACCTCATTTTAACTTAATTACCTCTTTAAAGTATGTACTATGGTGAGCGCTGTGAATTGTGTAAGACTGATGAATCATAGACCTGTACCCCTGAAACAGGTAATACATTATATGTTTAAAAAAAAAAAAAAAGTACCCGTCTCCAAATACAATCACATTGTGAGGTATTGGGAGATAGCACTTCAACATAAGAATTTTGGGAGGGGTAGGACATGTCAGCTGAGAACAAATCTCCTCTTTAAAAGAGATTTTGAAAAAGATAAATTTCTTTTATATTTACGCACTTAGCATTCCCAGTGCTTGTTTCTTGGTGAAGGTTCAGATTTCCATCTAGCATCATTTTCTCTCTGCCAGAATGATGGCCTTTTAACATGGCCTTTTTTTTTTTTTTTAAGATTTTATTTATTTATTTTAGAGAGCATGTGTGCATGTGGGGGTAGGGGGGAGGAAGGGGCTTAGGGGGAGGAAGAGGGAGAGGGACCAGCACACTCACACTGAGCGGGGAGCCCTATGGGACCAATCCCACAACACTGAGACCATGACCTGAGCTGAAATCAAGAGTTGAATGCTCAACCAACTGAGCCACCCAGGCATCCCTGCCTTTAATATGTCTTATTGTGCTGGTCTACTGACTCTGAACTCTTTCAACTTATGTACATCCTTTGGAAAAGCATTTTGCCTGCATTTTTGAAAGATTTTTTACTTGGTGTAGAATTTTAGGTTGATAGTTTTTTCCTTTCAGTATTTTAAAGATGTAGTTCTAATGTCTTTTGGTTTACATTGTTTCTGAAAATAAGTCTGCTGTCATTCCTGTGCTTGTTTCTTTGTGATATTTCTTACTTGTCTGGCTCCCTTCAAGATTGTGATGTACCTAAATGTGTTTGTGTGTGGTGTTTTTTTTTTTTTCTTCCCTTTCCCATTTCTTCTTGGGGTTTGGGTTTGTTGAGCTTCTTGAATCTATAGATTTGTAGTTTTTTTTTTTTTTTTTTTTTTAATCATACCTGAAAATGAGACTAGCTGACTCTGCTTGGGTTCTCCGACCCATTATTGCTGCCTGGGAACGCTTCCTAGGCAGTGAGATGGGATGTTTATAGCACTCCTATTGTTTGTTTTCCCTTATCATTGGGAACACTGCCCTACTGTACCTGTTCAGTGTCTGAAAATGTTTATTTCATTTAATTTGTCCTGTTTCTTTTCTTTAAGGTGAGAGGATAAATCCAATCCCTAATACTCTGTCATGGCCAGATGATACTCTTTGATAATGAAATTTAATTTTTTTTTTTAAAGATTTTATTTATTTATTTGACAGAGAAAGACACAGCAAGAGAGGGAACACAAGCAGGGGGAGTGGGAGAGGGAGAAGCAGGCTTTCCCGCTGAGCAGGGAGCCCGATGCGGGGCTCTATCCCAGGAGCCTGGGATCATGACCTGAGCTGAAGGTAGATGCTTAATGACTGAACCACCCAGGCACCCCAATGAAATTTAATTTTGTCACATTATTTTTTGTACTTCCGACTCCTATCAGTAAATTTATGAATTCATTGTGTAGAATGTAATTATTTGGCATTATTGATAATGCATATAATGCCTCAGCCTTGTGAAATTGGTACCTACTTCATTAGGAAAAATGAGTTTGTGGATTAGTGATCAAATTTCCTACAATGCTATCTAAATTGTTTATCGAAATTATAAAAGATTTTAAAATAATTTCCTATCTGGTCTGCTGCTATCAGAACATTTAAAACTTCTGAAATTTGTAGTTTCTGTGTTGTTCAGTCATTTCAGTCTTGGTTATAAACTCTTACCAGTAAAAGAATAATCTAAGTTCTGGCCATTCTTGTTCATAATATGTGTACAGTATTATAAATTATATAATGTATTGTGAGGAATACAGTTGAAGAATAAAGACTAGAAGAATTCTCCTAGGATAAAGCAATATTTGGGAATATAAACACACTAATTTGAGAAATTAATCTTTGATGGTTATTTAGGTTATATTAATTTTGAAATCATTGAAAGTAAATTTGCCACTTTTTTTTTTTTTCATCTAGGCTGAAGGGTATGTGATTGGCAGCTGTATTAAGCACATTCCAATCGCAGGACGAGATATAACATATTTTATTCAGCAGTTGCTGAGAGACCGAGAAGTAGGAATCCCTCCAGAGCAATCCTTGGAAACTGCTAAGGCAGTAAAGGTAAAAAAGTAATGATGAAAGTATGATTCAGTTAGAAATTAAAATCAGATTTACAATATTAACATGAGAAACTATCAGGTGAAGAACAGTACTTAAAAAAACCTTTTGTTTAGCCAATTGTAAATTATTACTCTTAATTATATATATGTTTTCTCTGTATTTCTTGTAAGGAAATTTTGCAGGATTATCAACTCTGTGCCTATTGTCTCCACATTTCACATTTGAGTCAAGAACATTTTTTTTTTTTTTTTAAAGATTTTATTTATTTATTTGAGAGAGAGAATGAGAGAGAGAGAGAGAGAGCATGAGATGGGGGAGGGTCAGAGGGAGAAGCAGACTCCCTGCCGAGCAGGGAGCCCGATGCGGGACTCGATCCCGGGACTCCAGGATCATGACCTGAGCCGAAGGCAGTCGCTTAACCAACTGAGCCACCCAGGCGCCCGAGTCAAGAACATTTGTACCAACTGACGTTAGCATACATTTTTGTGATTATTCCCTGTAGTAAAAATAATTAGTTCACTTCACAGTCCTTGTATCTCAGTTTCTTCACTGAATTCCTTATTTTAATCCTAACAATTTTCTGTTAAAAAAAAATTTTTTTTTTATGTAATTGTTTCATTTCACTATAGAATAGAGGTGGTGTTTGGCTCAAGTGATATAGCAAACAGAAGAAAAATGTGAAGACTAAGGTGTTTTAATAATTTGTATGTTATATAAGTCTTTGTTAGATTAGTGAGTGCTTCATGTAAACTGTCAAAATACTTAGCATTGCTTTTTAAATTTATCATTTGCCAACCTACAAAAATTTCAGTGGGTTTCTCATATGTTTTCAGTATGTGAAAGCAAAACTGCCCCAGCAAAAATAACTTTATTGCCTATCTTTGCCTGATTATAGGGTTTCTTTCACTCTTCAAAGGTTAGGAATGAAGAAGAATTTACTACTTCCTAGTAGTAAAGGAATTACGAAATGGCTGCCAAAACTTACCCAAAGGGTGGCATCAAAATTAAATATATAAAAAATTAACATGAATACTGCTTCAGCATCTTTGGGAAGCCTGTGGAGTTTAAAAAAATAACAAAAGCAACAAGGATTCACATCTGTTGGAGAGAATACTGATGCTCAGTCTGAATGTCTTTTAAGAATTATCATTTCCATGTAATTCCTACTTCCAACGTTTGGAGAAAGAAGAGCTACAACAACATAATCAAATTGTCCTTTGTTTTCCATAGTCTTTCCTTTTATGTCTTTCGATTATTAGTAATAATGTTTGCATCTGTCGTGGAGTAGAATTCTTGATGTACAAAAATATGTGAAATGTGTGTTTTTCTTTTAAAAAAAAATGAGACTTGGATTTGGGAGTCCATAAATTGCAAATAGAATGTTATAACCCATAACATTTTTTAATTGCGTTTTTGATGAAAACTTTTACTTAGTACTTATAACCAGATATTCAACAATTTAGCATTGCAGGTGATATAGTAAAAAAGAATAGTTTTTATTTTCAGCATTTTTTCTCTTGCTCATTTACTTAGACCATATTCAGTTTTATTCCAGGAAGGTATTAAGGATTAAGGGTCTGTATTATATTGTGAGTTATATCAGCTATTACTTATTCTCCAGTTCTGTATTTATTTTATGTTTTCTCCTCTTCATAATGCAAACTCCATTAATTATTGGAACTGTATAAAATGTTGAATGACATTAATGTATGTTTTCATGAGATAGTAGAGGTTCTCTTTAGTTGGTCAAATCTTATTCACTTTATATATGAAGTCAGGAATTACGTGTAGGAGATGAGAGATGAGTTGTTTATTTGTACTAAACATAAACTAATGTCCTAACATAAAATTTTCTTCAGCTTAATTTCTTAATTTTATTTTCTGAAGATATTTGTTCATTTGATTCTAGTTTGCTAAAAATATGTCATCCTTTTCTACTGTTCCTAAAATGAAGAAATAATTACTCATTTCTTTGTTTTCTTAGGAGCGCTATAGTTATGTCTGCCCAGATTTAGTAAAAGAATTTAACAAGTATGACACAGATGGATCAAAGTGGATTAAGCAATATACTGGAATCAATGCTATCTCAAAGAAAGAATTTTCTATTGATGTTGGTTATGAGAGATTCTTGGGACCTGAAATCTTTTTTCATCCAGAGGTAAGTTTTTTTTTTTTTCTTTAGATGGAATTGTTTTGAAATATTCAGCAGAAATTATCAGTCAACCATAGAAATTCAGGAAAGAGTTAATCTCAGGAACTTTCTTTTGTCTACTAAAATGCTATAGTGAGTTATTTTCAAGAGGAAAAATTGCCTATGTGAAATAGGCTAAACAAGTTACTATTTTTCACATATTTAGAAAACTAAAACATGTCTTTTTTAATATTTGTGGCTTATGTGGGGTCATGGAAAGAGGGGAGCCTTTAAAATTTATGACCATTTAAATGAAATATTTTTGGAAAAGTTCTAGAACTACCACTGGCCCCATATAAAATAACCATTAAACCAAGAACCATTAGTTGACTATCATAACAAAATATTAGTAAAATAGTTTTCTGTGTCTAGGAAATGTTAGCAACATGCAGGTTTTATTAAGTTAATGAAATGTGTGCTTTAAATGAAAAATTCTTCTAGTAACTTAGTATAAGAAATTTATTAATAGGATTACATTAAATGCATACTGTGCTTATTTGGCATTAAAAACGGCTATTTTTAAATATTGTTTATTCACTTAGCAAATAGTGAAAATAATTTTCATGGTCTCAGTTTAAGTATGGGATATTTAAAGATGAAAAATTGTTTTATGTTGCTCTTACTGAGTTTAGAATAAGGGAGATGAATATCTAAACAGGTGTAGTTGCTTTAATATGCATGGATTTGGGGAGGGCATAGGAACAAAGAGCATCTAAGTCTGCTTGGGGGAACTAGGGAAACTTCTTAGAGGAGGTGACAGTTGAGGATGAATATGTATTTGTCAGGCAGGTATGTTAGGGGAGTATCTTTCTGACAGAGGAGATAGGCTGGGTAGAAGTCTGGGATAGGAGAGAGCTAGATAATAAAATTATAAAGGAAGGGGTTGGTAGGAGATGGGTCCAGATGGGTGTTCATGAGGGACTAATATGCTATAGAAAAGAGTTTACTGGATTCTGTAGTTGTGCAGAAATCTTTAGTGCAAATGACACAGATTCATGTATGGTATTAGAAAGGTCACTCTGACTGCACTGGGTTGGGTGGATTGAAACAGAGGAGTGAATTGTGTTGGAAACAGGTAATGATGAGAGTGTGATTCAGTTAGAAATTAAAATCAAATTTACAATATTAACATGAAAAACTGGAAACAGGTGATTTTATTGCAGTTTTCCGGATGAAGCCTTCCATCTATTCCCCCTCTTCTGACATTAGGGATCCCATCTGCCCCTGCTCTCAGGCCAAGTGGTTTGGGTGGGTCTTGGGAGGGATGCCCCTGGATCCAGCCAGTCTGAGCAGGACATTCCCCCAGCCAAGGTGTTTGGTTCAGAGGTGGGCATGTGCCCTGAGCCCATCCAATCAGAGCGAATCCCAGGGATTCTGTAGGTACTCTTAGAAGAGCATAGCTCTCCTAGTGGATTTGAATCTGAGGAAGAGAAGCTCATCACCAAGTGGAGCCTTAGAATGAAGCCAACACATGGGAGAAAGTAAGGTCAATAAAAATGAGAAAGAGGTAAGGGAAAAGCAATAGAATCAGCATGACTTACTGATTACTTAGATGTGAGGGGAGTAAGAATATAAAGAATCTGTGATGATTCCCATATGTGTATCTTGAACAACTGGATGTGAAGGATATGAACAGGGATTGGAGATCATAATGAATTGGCATATAGCTGTAAGTTGGGAGCAAAGGAGTGAGCACCTGGGATAAGGCATTGTGGTCGGACAAGTATATGGGTGTTTTAAGGCTTAGCACATTTTCTTTGCAATCTTTAAAATAAAAATTCATAAAAGGATATATGTACATAGTTTTAAAAGTCACATAACACTGACAGGCTTAAACAAAAACAGCAGCTCCTCCTCCTCCACCCCTACTCTCACTCTTTTTGTGTTCTGCAGAGCATTCACTAGCTCTCACTTAGCCAGCACTCTTGGTAATTACCTGCACATTTCCAGATATTTGTCCTCCTATTTCTTGACATAGCAATGTAAGTAATTATCTACCAACTTCCTTTTAGGTTAGTTGATATTTCCTTAGACCCTCTTCCCTCAGCCTGTCTGTATGTTACGTTATAGTTATTAGCTAAATCAGTAGTTTCACAGTATATGAATAGTATTATATTGTTAATGTTTTTTGCTTTTGAGGCAAAATTGTAATATTGTAAATTTTTTCTCTTAAAATTGAGCTTTTCCTAAATTTTTGCCTCATTTCTTCATTTGTGTCATTTTCTCTTTGTTCATTTATTTCATTTATTCATTGAGGTTGTAATTAACTGTTTTTACAAGATCTGGAAGGGATCCTGGGGGTCTCACTATTTCTATATAGAGAAATTTAACAGGTTTTTTAAAACCTTGTTTTACTTTTCCTTGTGGTTTCTTATCGTTTCAATTTTGGGGACTTCAAGGTTCTACAGGGTGAATGGATTGACTTCTTAGCAGTATGCCCCTCTGGAAGCACTTAGGATGTAACATTCCTTTTTTGTAATTTTCTTTTGTCATTTTAGTAGTGATTTAAGAAGATAGATAACCACGTAGCTGGCAGTCAGGTCCCATTTTTCTCTGGGGTCATGTGTATGTGAACTGCTGAAGTCAAATGAATTAAAGGTCATGGGTTAAGGAACATCAGTTGAAGTTGAAATACTGGAGAGAGATACTAAACCTCCAAGTGGAGGACAGGAATTAGAGAATTATAGAAGATCCAGGACCAAAGTCCTAGATGAATAGGATCATTACCCCAAGATAGGTAATAGCGTGGGAAGTAAGAGATATCTTGGATTTTAAAGGAGGAAGCATTTGAGTGCAGTACTCTTGACAGACATCCTCAGCTAAGGTCTTGACAGTCTTAAAAAAACCTTTGACATGTTAGATACGTAAATAAACTGTGTTGTTTTGGTTGTGCCGTGTTGCTTAGGAAAGGGATAATTGTCTGGATGTCAGTTTACCTTGTTGCTAATGTTTCATATATAATTTTTTTCTATTAATCTTTGTCATTTGATATACACCAAGCATTCTTCATTAAGTTTTTTAAAACTTTGAAACACCTTTTACTCTATAGCATTTTTTTCTTTGTAAATAATTTCTTCTGTGAGAAATCCATGTTTTTCTTTTCTTCAAAGTTGTTTTTTAAAATCAGTTATGTATATGCACATTGTTTAAAAGTCCTAGTTATTGAAATTCTGACAAAAACTAGGAGTGTCCTGCATACTTCTCTCCCTAATTTTTTTCCTGGAGGTAAGCACTTCAACCTTTTTTAGTTGATTCTTTTGGTGATTGCCTCCATAGCTACAGTTTGCTTTGGTTGCATTGCAGCTTCAAGTTTTTTCAGTTTTAGGCATTTTCTATCAGTTTCCAGCTATGGAGGAAGAGGATTGCCTTTTCTCCCTTTTTTTGCCATGACAAACAGTGCCTTTCCATACCTTTTTGTCCCAATAATTACAATTTCAGTTAGGTAAAAATTCAATGCCTACATTTTTGTGAACACAAATTTTAATCAGATCTGTGAACACAAATTCTAATTAGATCTGAGTCATGCAGTTTACCATGAAATATTTTCCTGTCCTATATTTTGTTTACCATGGGAAACAATAACTTATTTGCTTAGTTTTAAAATAATGATCCTTAATTCACCTCTAAACTCTATCCACCAGTTTTATAACTGTCTTCTCAGGATATTCAGATGCAAACGGTTTTAAAAGCAATTTATTTTTCCAGAGCATATGTTCACATGTCCCAATCTGAACCTGCTTCCTTCTGCACCTGGTACAGAGTTGTCATATTCCTTCACCATCATTGTGGGGATTCCTGTTGCCTCTCACTTAAATCCCTCTTCCCTCCATCCCATACCTTTCCCTTTCTTTATTTTGGTGGAAATCATTTCCCATTGGGGTTCCTGATAAAAAGGGCACATGAGGGATGAAAATTTCAAGACCTTGCGTGTCTGAAGATGTATTCATTTTATCTTCATACTTGTCTGATAATTTGGGTGTAGAATTCTAGATTGTAAATCATTTTTCTTCAGCATTTTGAAGCCTTAGCTCAGTTGCTTCCCATTATAACTTGAAGTAAAAAACTGTTCTGATTTCTAAACCTTGTACAGGGCCTGCTTTTTTTCTTTCCAGATACTTGTAGATTATCCCTTTGTTCCCCTGACATTCTCGTGTGCTCGCTCTGTTTTTTCTTCTAGTTGTACTTTTTCTTTTTGTTCCCCTCTCTAGGTGATTTCTTCAGTTTACCTTCTGAACCTTCTGTTGAATTTATTTCTGGTAACATACCTAATTTTCAAGGGTTTCCCCTTCATCTGCTCTTGAATATTTCTTTTTTATGATGCTGTGTTCTTGTTTCATGGTTGCATATCTTCTGGCTCTCTGAGGATGTTAGTCTAGGTTTTTTGAAGGTTTCTTCTTTCTCCATAGTCTCTTTCTTCCAGGATGCTTTTTCTCTTTGTTTTGATTCCTGTATTTTTCATGCTAGAGATTTTTGGGGGCCACTCATTTAAGAAGGGGACACTAAAAACCTGATTGGAAATCTGAGCTTTGTGGGTAGGGCTTTTGACTATGGTCTTTACTTTGGAGGAATGCCCGATGTGTGTTTCCTTAGATCATTTCAGATGGTTCGATTCCCAAAAAGATTACTGCCTGGAGGGTAGAGGTTGGCAGCCAAATGGGAAGAGGGTCAGCATTTGTGTGTTGGAGTGGGCTGCATACCTTCACTTAAAAGCCCCCAGCTTTCATTCCTTTCAGCCATGTATAAGAGTCTGGGGGCTCTCTAATTTATTCCCTTTAGAGAATAGATAAGCCACCTTTCTCCTTGGCTGAGGAGGAGGTATTTCATAGACTTCTGTAGTTGGGATCTGTGACTTTGCTTTTCACAGAGACTTTCAACCATTGTTCCTTCCTGTCCTTCTTCTATCTCACTTTCAGTGCTGATAGGTACAGCCAGTTCTTTTTGGGGGTGGTGGTGGTGGTGGTGATAGAAAACAGCCTTATTCTTGGCTTTCCCTACTGATGACTTACTGAGTGTTTTGGAGGGAGTGTATGGTCTTGTCCATCTGCAAACATTGCAGTTTGCCAAATTTTGTTGCTGTTTCTTCTCTTTCTGTTCTCTCCATACATTTGGGATTATTCCTTTTTTTAAAAAAATTTCTTTCGGGCGCCTGGGTGGCTCAGTCATTGGGTGTCTGCCTTCAGCTTGGGTCATGGTCCCAGGGTCCTGGGGTTGGGCCCCATGTCGGGCTCCCTGCTCGGCGGGGGGCCTGCTTCTCCTTCTCCCACTCCCTCTGCTTGTGTTCCCTCTCTCGCTGTGTCTGTCTCTGTCAAATAAATAAATAAAATCTTTAAAAAAAATTTCTTTATTGGTGCTTTTAGTACGGAGAGCAAGTTGAGATATGTGTGCTTATTAGTTCACCATGTTTTTCCAGATTAGACTTTTTTTTTTGTATACTATGAACTGTGTCACTTCCCAAGTGAATTTTAAGATTCTGTCTTCTGTAGTTCTAGATATCCTCTGTCATTTGGAAAATTCACTCTGTTTTTTGTTTTGGCTAGATGAAAGTGTAGGTATCTAAACTTGGACACTAAACATAAACTGTATGAAAGAGTAAGGATATTTATTTTTTGAATTGCTAAATTCATCACAAATGCTTGAAAGAACTGTTTTTAGACGGAATGGGGTTGGCACTCTGATTTTTTTTTTTAAGGGAAATTTAAATTTTTTTGACAAAGCTATTTGGACTGCTTTGTTTACTTGGGTGTATTCTCTATAAATTTTTCAGAAAAGAGGTTAGATACTCCTCCCTTGATAGCCACTTGCAGTAGTATTAAGACCTGATCAGAGAGCATTTAGAGACAGGACTAATCCTTTTGCTGAAAGTGAAAACAAAAGGCCTAAAAATATTCTTAGTGGGGACCCTAGGTTGAGCATAGTCAAGTATTGAGTAACCTACAACAATTTATTGTTAATTCTTACTCTTTCCCTTTATTAAGTATCCATTGTTTGCTGCTTTACTACATATTCTACTCATTCTCACCTGGGATTCTATATAGCACAATGGTCCATGAGCTTTTTGTGAAGATGTATTTAAATCAGACTTCATTTCTTTCTTTGCAAATCAGAGTATCTGTGGGTTGATTATGAGTATGTGAATATATAAAGCTCATATAAATTCTTTCCTTTGTATGTTCTTGATTAAAAATTGTTATGAGAAGGGCAGGAATGAATGACCCTATTCCTGCCTTTTACTTGCTCATGTTATAGCAGATAAACTGTCTTAAAGGTTAAGGAAGGAATTATGGGAGGGTTAATCTGTTGAGCACATGCGCTCCTGTGTGTGTGTGTGTGTGTGTGTTGTTTAGGTAAATATTGAAGGAATATGGCTAACAAAGACAGTGTAGAGAATTTGTAAGTTCTGTATTAATAAGTTGATAAGATACTAAGATATTGTAGAACATATTTTCTGTCGTTAATATTTTCTATTGTTAATGTTCTTTGTCCACATTTTGGGGATTAAATCTCATGACAAGGTCTCAGGTTGAAGTATCATTATGGGATCATAAAAGCATGTTGAGAGAACTTAAGTTTCCTTAGAAATTTCATAGTCTAAAATCTAGAGAATTTCTACAGGTCACAAAATAAAATTTTCAGGATTCCAATTCTTTTGCTCATTCTAGTTAATGGTGGACTGAGCCATTCTCTGCCTCTAAACTAAGCTTGTGTATACATGGCATACAGAGCCAGCCAAGTTGAGTTATATTCTCCCATTTTCACAGAATACAATATGGACAACTTCTGACAGATGGAACAAATAGTCTATAGGTTGCTTTCTCAAGGTTCAGTATGAGCCACATTTCTATACCCACTCTTAGGTATTCATTATCCCAAGGAATTCTATATCCCTGTTAGGGTTTCTTATGTACACTCATCAGCATGCTTCAGAAGGATAGATGTTGGCTGCCATTTTTTTCTCTTACTATGATAACAGAAGTCAGTAGAATCTTTGTTAGGGATATCTTCATCTAAATTAAAATATCTTGTATCATTATGCTTCATCACTTAAGTAACATTAAATCTCTTTTCATTGTATGCCCAGACTCTAAATAACTTCAAACTAATTTTAATAACTGGAAAAAATGGACATATCTAATAGTTACCAGTCAAGTTATAGAATCCGTTTAATGAACAAAGGAATGTTGTTTCTCCCATTAGACAAGCTAATGGGAAAAATGAGAGGCCAAGAGAGGTGGTTGGCAACTCATTTTCTAGACAGTTACTTTAAATTTTATTCATTTGAATAAAATAGACTTGTTTATTTTGACAAATTAGAGCTGAATTTTGACCTTAATACCTAGGAAAAAAGAAAAATCCCATGTAGCATTTCCTTTCTAATTTTAAAGAGTAATACATGGCCACTTACATATATTTTTGCAAATTAGGTCTTTGTTCCAGAATACAAGTTTAATTCTGAGATCTAACATTTCCAAATTATTTATATATATATGTGTGTGTATATATATATGTATGTATATGTTTGTATAGCTCCTCTTAGGAAATACACAGTATGATTTTGGAGGGTCATAGGCCTGCATGTAAAAATAAATGATGGGGAAGAAAGGAAGCCTTCCTTAATCTTATTTCTCCTTGTATACAAGACCTGATGTTGTATATAAAATTTTTAAAAAAATTTTTAACCTCATTCTGTTTCCATAATAATTGAAGTTGTCAAACTGCTTTACATCTCAAACCTACCTATCCAGTCTGTTAAGGAATTCTGAAAAGTTTTGTGTAATACGTGTACCTTCCATTCCAAATAAATACATAGTAATATTTTAATATTTATCATATTGAAATCTTATTTTAAGAAGTAAAATATTATAAAAAGAGTATCTTACCTTCCTCAGACCTTTTCCTTTTCTATTTGGTTTCCATCCTTTTTCCTCCTGAGGGCAGTTGCTGTCATAAATTTAGTGTATATCCAGTTCTTATGTTTAACTGTGCATGTATTTACAAAAACATATATTTTTAAAGGATTTACATATTTGGAATAACTCAAGTTTTTATGAAGTTATATTTTTAAAAAATGAGTTTTGCTTTTGAGTGTCAGCTATTTGGAAATAGTTTAACTATGGTGTATCATCATGTGAGTATACAGTTCTCATTATTCATAGTAGATACTCCTATAAAGTTGCTGTGAACGCTGAATTAGTGAATACTGAACCATTGCTCATAGCGGGAAACGGTTCAGTTCTGTGAGCCTTAGATTCCAACACTTTTGTCAGCTGAACATGAAACCTTGTTTTATTTGTGTTTCTGTTTAAAGACACACTATTTAATATATATCGTTGATTTATTAGCATTGATATCACGGCCAACAGCAAAACTGTGACTCATGCCTGAATGCACCTTATCCAAAACTGTATTTTCTCCATGACATATATCACAGCCTTAAGCTTAGGAACAGTAGATGGCACTTTGGCACTACTGTGGCTGGGGACCCTTTTTATTTTATTTTATTTTATTTTATATTTATTTTAAGTTTATTTGAGAGGGAAAGAGCAAGCGAGAGCACAATAGCACTGGGAGGGAGAAAGCAGACTCCCGGCTGAGCAGGGAGCTCGATGCAGGGCTTGATCCCAGGACCCTGGGATCATGACCTGAGCTGGAGGTAGATACCCAACTGACTGAGCCACCCAGGTGCCCCGGGGACCCTTTTAAATAGCAAAATCACCTGCAAAAATGTGGAAACTGTGACACTAAATAGATCATGAAAAGGACACTTACTTACAGCATAAAAGCTGAAATGAATAGACAGCATTTCCTTGTTTGACCTCAACTACAAATGTGTCGGTCAACTCATTTTCAGAGCTCTGCTCATGTGCATGCCTACAGATTTTTACCAGCTCATGCTATATGTGTGGTTTTACATTTTTGCTATTCTGATAGTTATGAAATGGTATATATCATCATTACTGTAATTTGATTTCTTCTGAAATCTCTGATTTCTGTGTCTTTAATTTTGAATTAGAGACCAGAATTTGTTTGTAAAAAGTTCTTTTATTTTTAAACTGAAAACTTTCTTAATTTTTCATTGTGATATGTATTAGTAGTGATCTAATCTCTATCATATATCCACCTTTACTTACTTTTCAGTTTGCTAATCCAGACTTTACTCAACCTATCTCAGAAGTTGTAGATGAAGTAATTCAGAATTGCCCTATTGATGTCAGACGTCCTCTCTACAAGGTCAGTATTTACAGCAAAATTGTTCAAGGTCTTCTTTTAAAAAACTTCTTTATATTTCTGTCCATTGTTGAATATTAAATTTAAAAATCCTCTCTATGATAGTATTTTAATACTATTTCTTATGTCTTTATTTTTCTCTTTCTCTCTAAATAAAAGTCATACTTACTTATTTATTTTTCTCCACTGATATAGAATATTGTCCTCTCTGGAGGTTCAACCATGTTCAGGGACTTTGGACGTCGCTTGCAAAGAGATTTGAAAAGAACTGTAGATGCCAGGCTGAAATTAAGTGAGGAATTGAGTGGTGGCAGATTGAAGGTTGGTTTTCTTAGTTATTAGGGGGAGGGTTGATGGTGCCTTGATTATTGTAATAGGGATGGGAGATGTCAGCCAACTTTTGCTTTTATTTAGGAAAATAAGGATTTCTATCAGACTTTCTAATGGAAAGTGGTTAATCATATTGAGATCTTATTTTAAGAAATAAAATACTAACAAAAAGAGTACCTTACCTTCCTCAGACCTTTTCCTTTCTCTCTTTGGTTTCAATTCGTTCTTTTTCCTCCTGAGGGTAGTTGCTGTCATGAATTTAGGTATATCCAGTTCATGTTTTTAACTATGCATGTATTCAGAAAAACATACGTTTTTAAAGGATTTACATATATGGAATCATTCAAAAATACCATATTTATGATATTCTTGGTCATTTGATTCCTCTAGGATATTACCAACATTTCTGGAAAATATTCTTAGTCTGTGTGAGTGACATTATTTCATATGTCTCTCACAGATAACGTATATAGAGAAGAATTCCTTGCATACTCTAGGGATAATATTCCTTAAGGATCCACACAATTTTAAATAGTACTATAGCAGTACAACATAGCCGAGTTGAGAGAGAAGCTGATGTTGTGGGGTCAAGCCTGCTTGCACAGACTCATTCTAGCGTCCCCCACAGCAGCCTCATAGTGTGAAATCGAATTGGTGGTTTAGCAGAAATAACTTTCTTTTACATGTCCTGGACTTTGGGTTTGCTGTCAAAATCAAAATTAATTTTAAATTCTCAGATATCTGCTTTCTATATTTATGAGACAGTTTTTCAGTAAATATTATGTTTCATCCTTGTTCAATGTAGAATATTGAAGCAAAACATTGATTTAGAGGATACATTGCTTAATAAAAACACATTTTATTCAGCTTGGAAAATTATCAAGAATTAGGGCTTCATCTGAGACTACTAGTCGTTCAAAATTACTTAAAAGTAAAATACAATCCTCTAGGGTTTGCTGCTGCTTTAGAAATTGCATGACCACTGACTGTTTTCAGCCCCTAAATTTTGATTATCTTAAATTTATCTCTTGGGGAGCAGTAAAAAAGTGTGTTTAAGTAGTTGTTTAGTTTGTGGATGGACTCATTATAGACATACAAAATGAAACATGCTGTTTTTGAGTGTAATATTTTAATAAAGTGAAAATTTAACATTTTTAGGCTTGTACATTTAAAAAACAAGAAATGAGGAATTTTTTTTTCCCTCCGTGATATCAGTACTGTACTGACATTAATGATACAGGAGAAATCCAGTTTACTGGAGGACTCTGCCTCCCTTTTTATTTTACTTGATATTCTTACTGATTTTCATATCATTTTAATATATCTGTATCTAAATCTGGCTTTATTGCCTTTCAATCTGTAATTTTTAATGGCAACTAAATAGCTTTTCTTAACAAAAAAATAAGCCATTTTTTATGACATGTAAATATTTTTAAACTTTTTATTTTGAAATAATTTCGTACTTACAGAAAAGATACAAAACCTAAAGGAATTCCTTTATATCGTTCACCTAGATTCTCCAAATGTTAGCATTTTATATTTGCTTTATTCTCTATCTATAAAGATACGTACCTATGCAAATATACACACATGCAAATATTTTTCTCTGAACTATTTGAGAGTGAGTTGGAAATATAATGTCCCATCACCCCTAAATATTTTAGTGCGTATGTCCCAGAACAGGACATTGCAGTTGTCAAAATCACAAAACTAGTCTTGATACAATAAAAAATCTAGTTATAGACCTGATTCAGGTTTCACCACTTTCATTATTGTCCTTTATGGCAAAAGGGAGAAAAAAAATACTGGTCTAGAATCCAGTCTAGGACCACATGTTTGAATTAGTTATTATGTCCCTTTAATCTGGAGCAAGTACTCAGTCTTTTTTTTGTATTTTTTTTTTTTTTTTTTTAAGAGTTTATTCATTTTGGAGAGAGAGTGAGCAAGAGAGTGCACGCAAGTGCTCTTGAGTGGAGAGGGTTAGAGGGGGAGGGAGAGGGAGAAAGAATCTGAAGCAGACTCCACACTGACTGAGCCACCCAGGTGCCCCTTTTTTGTCATTCTTATTTAACCTTATTGCTTTTGAAGATACAGACCATTTATTTTACAGAATGTTTCTCAGTTTGGGATTGTCTGATACTTCCTCGTGATTAGTTAGGTTCAGATTATGTACTTTTGGCAGTAATACCACAGAAATGATGTTGTATCCTTTTTTAGTGGATTGTATCACTAGACACATGGTATAATTTGTCCCAGATGTTAATTTTGATCAGTTGGTTAAAGTTGTGTCTGCTGGGTTTCTCTATAAAGTTATTATTTTTTCTTTATGTGTAATAAGAATCCTATGGGAAGATACTTTCAGACTATCCTGTTTCTTATCAAACCTTGAACCACTGGTTTTAACATCCATTTTTCTTTCCTAAAATAGTTACCACTGTGTGGTAGTTGCCAACTGGTATTTTGTAAATTCCATCATTCCTTCTATGGTTTTTAGTCTCATTTTACTGTAAGGAAGAATTTTTCTTTCTCATTCATTCAGTAATACCTCTATAAAAACCTGATTTTTCATATTATTCTTTAGACTATATCATCAATATCATTGTGATAAAATAACCTATCATTAATACTATTAATATCTTTAATTTTGATGCTCAAATTTTTTTCAGATTTGGCCAGTGGGAGCCATTAAAGGTGGCTTTTTGTCCTTTTGATGTGGCCCTAGTATTCTTTAGGCTTTTTGCTACTCTTTGACCCAGCAAAATAATTCAGATTCATCTTGTACTTTCTGTTCTTCAATATTAGAATCAACCTTTTTTTTTTTTTCCTGAGACACCCTTGTTCCTTTTAGTGGAAAATGCTATTAAGGAACCAAATTTTGGGGATGGGTGGCTCAGTCAGTTAAGTGTCTGCCTTCGGCTCAGGTCATGATCCTCGGGGTCCTGGGATCAAGTCTTGTATCAGGCTCCTTGCTTAGTAGGGAGCCTGCTTCTCCCTCTGCCTGCCACTCCCCGTGCTTGTGTGTGCTCTCTCTCTCTCTGACAAATAAGATCTTTAAGAAAAAAAAAAAAGGAACCAAATTTTGGACACTAGGTATATTCATTGTTACTGAGGGTCACTGCCTCGGGCCTTCTTGGGAGTCAGAACTAGGATGTACTTGTGTGCATGTATATACACACACATCTGTATCCAGTTTTGTATTTATATAAATTAAGAACTCTTAATTCATAGTGATACTACTAGCTCCAGAATACCAGAAGTTCATTGTAGCCTTCCACTTTTTCATGTTTGTAATGCAGTTCTCTGACAGTGAGAAACTTGGCTTCCATTATCTACAGTGTATTGATGTTTTTGCTCGAACTGGAATACTTATTATAGTGCTTTCAGAATTGTTAATCCACAGTGAGAAGTATACTAACTGGAGTTCAATATTTACTTAGTTTTTATCTTTTTTAAAAAAGATAAGGAGAGGGAGGGAGAGTCCTAAGCAGTCTCTTGACCCTGAGATCATGACCTGAGCTGAAACCCAAGAGTCAGAGGCTTAACCCACTGCGCCACCCAGGCCCCCTACTTAGTTTTTATCTTAAGACAGAGGGCTAGTCATAATACTGTGTTCATAAATTACTTGGGTTAGTCCCTTTCCCCACTTCAGTGTGGTTGTTACTGTTTTTGTTTTTTTTTAAATAAAATTAGCTTAATTTGTTTCTGTTGTATTCTGTTTTGCTTTATGTGCATCCTGCCTCTTTTAAAGTTTTATTTACTTTTGAATATACAGTTTTGTGTATATACATTAAAAATTAAATGATACAGAAATTATTTGAATTTACTGTTGAACTGCTCTTACTGTGTCATTTTTAGCCAAAACCTATTGATGTACAAGTCATTACACACCACATGCAGCGATATGCAGTTTGGTTTGGAGGATCCATGCTGGCTTCCACGGTGAGATAAAGCTTACATTTAAAATTTGATTTTTTTTTTCCAGTTAGAAGAAATAGCCAATACATATACAATATAGAATAACAAGGGAAATTTCTTTAAATTTATCTGCAATATATCTGTATATTACATGAGGAAGTTTTAAAATTGGTTACATATATATGTACATAGTATTTTAAAAAGTAGAAGTTATTTGGATTTTATTTTTTGCTTGTTTTTTAGAGTGAAAATTTAGTTTTAAAATTCATCTGTAGGGAAAGTTCTTTTAATCTTGTGATGATACAGATATTAGAAGGTTCATTGTTTTTTCTGTGCAAATATTTAAAAACACTAAGATCACTGCATAGGAAGTATGATGTTCAAAAGTTAGTAGAGGGAATTATTCTAAGGGCCCTTTCCCCAAACCAAAACATCTTAAAACCTCTTTAAAAGGTAATTTAGCATCATTAGCCTATTAAATATCAGTGCTTTATCCTGTAGTACACATAATATTAAATAAAATGAAGAAGCTTTTATCTGAATTATTGAAAATTACATAAACTTGGATTTTTAAAACCATTTAAAAATAAGAGGTAAAAGTTACTTTCTTCCTTAATTTTAGTTATCTTCTGTTTGTGCCATATAATAATCTGGTGAGTTTGTAAGTTTGCCCTTTGAAGAAGTTAACAGAGAGAGAGCCTCTGTCTATACCAGACCTTTAGTGAGGAAAGCAAGTTAATCTAGAAGTTTTTGTATATGACTAAGAGGAGTTTATATTTTGTTTTATTTTAAAAATTTTATTTATTTTAGAGAGTGAGAAAGAGAGTGAATGTTGGGGGTGGGGGAGCAGAGGGAGAGGGAGAGAGAATCTGAAGCAGACTCCCCAGCGCTCAGCAGGGAGCCCAACGAGGGCTTGATCCCATGACCCTGAGATCATTGACCTGAGCTTAAAGAGTCGGACACTTAACCGACTGCACTGCTCAGGTGCCCTTTATTTATATTTTAGATTAATGCTGCTTTTTTAGAGTACTGATTTATTGTACAATGTGGGGAAATCTTATCAGAATAGTCTGAGCTTTTGAGAATCAGTCTTCCAGTCCTCAGACTTTCAGAATCATGCTGAGGTAGGGGGATATGTGTTAGGACATGTGTTAAATCCTACTCTTCATTTCTGATAAAGATTTATAGCTGATTTTAAGTCACGGTTTCTAGAATTTTTAAGCTTCATTCAAATATCGAGATGGACTAATAATAAACATTTTAGATTTAACAAATCTATTTTAAAGCATACTGAGAGGGTGGTACATTTTTGACCTTTGTAAAAATGCATGTTTTTATTTTCAGCCTGAGTTCTACCAAGTATGCCACACCAAAAAGGATTATGAAGAAATTGGACCTAGCATTTGTCGTCACAATCCAGTGTTTGGAGTCATGTCGTAAAATTGATTTCATAATTATTGGGGTTAGGGAGGTGGGGAAGAAATAATCTTTCTGATTACCTGTTTTGTCTGGATGGCTGGTTTTGAGGTTTTAAACCTGACTTGAAGTAAGAAGACCAAACATAATTATACAGGAATATTTTAATAAGTATATCAACATGAGAATGTAGAGGAGAGCCAAAATGATTGTTTTTCTTTAGACTGGATATTTGAATCTTATGTGTAACAAAAAGAAGTGGGTTTTAGTTCTTTCTGTGCCCTGATATTTTGTATATTATTGAATTATCCAAGATTTGATGGGATTTATCGGTATGTAGATAGCTCTATAATGCTTGAGTTGTACACTTCTAAGTGTGCAATGCAAGAGCTTGTTTATATTTCATACTTTTTATACTTTGAGGAAAAAAGTCAAAGAAAAACTAGTATTTGAGGAAAAACAAGTGACCAAGTAAAGGATAAATTAAGAAAAAAAAAAGCCTCATGAGACTTGGCGTACACACACACTCATGGGATTCCAGTTATTACAAATGGCTTCCACCCCCTTGTACCCCACAGTGGTTTTCTTTGCAAGTGCTTTTGGAACTAAGAAGCTAGTATCTTGGATTAACTGATGCCCACTAGTGCTTTCTGATTACTCGAATCCTGTTTCTTGCTTTAAAGAAAAAGTAAAGATAAGACTGTTGGACCAGTACTGCAGTTCTGTAGTGTCATTTCTTATTAAAAATAAATAATTTGATTACCAAAATTGGTATATTTAAAGCCTAACACCATTCTAATAAAGGCACAAATTTCTTTTTAATACTTGTTTCAAGCTCTTTAATCTCTTTATAAGTTAACTAATCTATTTTCTTCAAACCTCTGCAATAGTTCTTTAAAATCACAACAGTTGGTTAGCAAGCTCACTTTTTTATGTGCTCTAAACAAATAATTGTGAAATTTTAATACATTGAGTGCTTTCATTTTGATAACTGGATCTCCATTTGATATTTTCATTTGTATAACTCATTTGCAGTCTGAAAATTTTTTTAGTGCCAGTCCCTGACATATCATGGAAAGTTAATTTTCTTTGCATTTTAAAATATCTGGACCATGAAGAAAAAGTGATGAAAATAAATTAAAACTGAATTACCTTTTCTAATGTTTTTTTTTTTTTTTAGAAGCAGTGTCATTCTACTTTGTGTGTATGTATTTTATATGATTTCTGTTTCTGTTGGAATAGTGGAATTCATTGAAATCTCTATAATGTGTATGGTAGAAAATATCTGTGAACTTGAAATTTTACCAGTTATATTTATAGAAGAATAAAAATAGAAGATGTTTTTTAGGCTTTTTAGAACTTCAGCATTAATGCCAGTGAACACTTGAACTTCATTATCCATGAAAATGCACATAGAATTAGTATATGTCTATCTAAAAGTTAAAGAACAATGGAAGGGTCTTTGTTGTTTGTATTTAATATAAAGATAGAATTGAGGAGTAAACTTTAGATTTCATTTAGAATGAAGCAGGATACTTAAAATTGTATTAATCATTTCTGTGAAACTTTGAGTATGGGAGTAAAGAGCAAAGTGTATGTCCTCTGGTAGTGGTAGTATCAGAATCAAAGATCTTTTTTTTTTCCCCCTCACTTAAAAAAGTAGTTCATGAACATGTTAAAAAAAAACAAACAAACAAAACTATTCAAACAGTACCAAAGAGTAGTGAAAGTAGGTTTCCTTTTCACTCTGTCTTTTCTTATTTTCCCATTACAGTTAGAAATGTCCTTGTGTCCTTGTAATTTTCTGTGAATACAGAAAGAAGTATAGCTCCCTTATTTTAACACGAATTGGAGTTTGCTACATATACTGTTCTTCATTCTGCTTTTTCAAAGATCTTTTGATACAGAACTAAATGGATAAGCATTAAAGATTTCATCCTCTTGGTCCAATAAAGTATTATTAGCATTGCCTTAAATATGTCTTTTCCACCTAGTATTATTGAATAGTAAATGAGTAAGCTCAAAAGACATGTTTACAGAGCCACAGATTACAATCTCATGCATACTTTTTAAAGATGTTAACTGATATAAAAATGGTGAAGGTCAAAAATTTTCCTTTAAACTTACATGTATTTAGGGAAACAAGAAGACTCAAACGTTTCCTATATATTTCTTGATAACCCTTTTCCTCTGCCTTTATAGGACTTAGCTATAATATGATAGAAACAGTGCTCTTATTTCTTCACATCTTTCCTATCACTGTATATCGTTTTTCAACTTACAGCACCTTTGGTTGTATATGTATAGATGCTGGCCAAGATGAATTCAAATCTGCAGCACTGATTCGATGTCAAGCTACATGAGCATGGTACATTGGAAAAACACCAAACTGAGACCAGTGATTGAAATTTTTATTCTGGTTCTACAAATTGATGTTAGAACTCCTTCAACTTTAATTTTGTTGTTGTTGTTGTTAAAACATGGAAGATAAATTTGTATAATCTTAGACAAATTCTTTGAACTTTCTGGACCTTAATTTAGTTTACATAGAAGGTGGTGTTATATGGATTGTATGGATTAACAATGCAGTTTTTATGATTTGTGAGAATTGATTCATTTGTGATAGTTAAGATGTTTTCTGATGTCTCCATTTTAATAGGCAGGGCTTTGATCAATTGGGAAATATTAACGGACAGAAATAAAGTAGATGATGTTTCTCGAACTTGCCTACTCTTCAGTAAGCTGGTTTTCACAACTTAATCTTTACCCCTTAGTAAATGGCATAGACCTTCTTCCGGTCTGCCTTCCTTTTTGATAAAAGATACAGCAGTTATCTGTTCAGGTCCACCAATATAATTTTTTGGTTTGCTTTCAAAGCTACTTGAACAAGTTGAAATAACTGTTCCTGCAGTTATTTGTAGGAATATCTTCAGAAATAATAATATGAAGTATAGGGATAATAGGCTATTATATTATTTATTTACTTTCTCCAGAGAGGTCCTAGAGAATATATCTACAGAAATAGAAACTTTCTTCATTCAGATAACCATAATGGTGGTACCAGGGTACTTTGTAACATTGTTGATGAAATTATTTGTAGTGTCAAAGGGTATTTGTGCTATTGTAAAGTGTGTTGTTGCTCCTCTAAATACTGGACTAATCAGTCCGTGATAAAGTCCAGTGTATTTCTGCTTTTCTTACCAGCTCAGCTTTGACTCCTGTGACCTTCTACTCCTTTATCTGGTTCATATCACCATGCCTGAGTACCTCCAATAGCCTTCTGCAGTCTCTGTAGCTGTTAGCACCTAGATTCCCAACTTAGGTTAATGTCACTAAATATATTACCTAAAGTACACAGAAACGAACATACTTAAAACTCTGAGTGAAACCTCCTACTCTGTGCCCTAGAGCGTATTTCAGTGTGATAGCATGTAGCCTATACTCTTGGCCATGGGCAGATTTGTCAGCAAGAAGTTATGGGGAACTTTTACACCAAATCCTAAAAATAAGTACTTGGTTTTTATAGTTAGGCCCATATCACATCTAAGCTGATCTTAAGAATTTTTAAATCTGTAGGAGGGTCTGGAGACTTGAAAGGATTTCTGCTACTCTTCGTTGATGATTCCTCAATACTGTTCATTCCTCTTCCATAGTATTTGTTTATCAGCATACCAGCACTTTCATGATAATGTGCTTGGTCTTGATAGAATCTTAACAAAAATAAATTAAAATCTGGTTGTCTCTGGTACTTTCTATGCCATAACCCAGTTTAACTGATGGCACTTGGAACTTGGGAGCTGAATTAAATAACACCTATTTGATTTCAGAATTGTATTAATCTTGCTCCAAGTGAATGCAGCAGCAGTAAAAAAAGGGTACAAAAATACAAATGAATGATTTAGCAAAAATGGCAACTGAAAGAAAAAACTGAGAAAATTAAAAATTAGAAAAAAATTGTGTTATTTTGATTTAACAAATGATTGATCTTTACTGTTTTTCAGCATTCTATCACTTTTGGTGACTTTTATACATTACATTAAAACTAAGGTGCTGAATCAAAATGGTTTCACATTTATTCAAACACTACAACTCATTTATACTACCCATGTACTGCATCAGGTTTTGGGCCTCCAGTTCCAGAGGCATTTCTTAACCACATACTGTGTTTCAGTCACTGTCTGATGATGAATAAAACTTTCTGTCCTGAGCTAGTGTAGTGGTAAATACACAGAGGAGTGAGATTTCAGAGATGTCTTAATAAGCCTAGGATTTTTCTTCATAAAGATGTGTTGGTTGTGGTGGTGGTTTTGAGGGAAAAAAACTCGGCTAAGTACGATAAAAGTTACAATGTGTGGCTCTTGTTTAAAATTAGTCTTTTATGTGTTCCTGACATTCTTAAAACAATGAGAAATGTTAAATCCAACGATAGTTGAAGAAAGTAATTTCATAGTAGGGATCATTCTTATTCATTTGGTATTTCTAGTGCCTTACATATTACCTGGCACATAGTAGTGGTTCAGTAAATGTGTTTGATAGATGAATGGATGAGTGAATAAAATCCATCTTTCATTGTGAAATTAAAACTTTGAGTAATTTGTGTATATAGTTTTTGGTATCAAAAAATACCCATATTTATCGAGGAAGTAAAACTGAATTACTACATTTTTCTGTTCCTCTAGTTTTTATCTTAAATAAAACAGTGATATTCTGTATAAAACAGTGAAGGATTATTAAGTGATCATAAATTTTCTGAAGTGGGCCTTCAGTAGTTCTTTAGGTTTTGGTAGTTTTTAAGTCTTTGTAGTATAAATGATTGTGCACTCTAAAGCTGAGCATTGTACAATGCTAACTGAAATGCTTTAAAATATTTGGTACCATTCAACAACAATAGTAGAAACTCTACTAATTTCTAGCTTTGCTTTTTTGTGGACCAGTTTTGATTCTCTCTTATCCAAATCCCATTTTGAGATAATTTAGAGATAATGACTTAAATCAAAACTTCCACCATTTTCTTTTCTTTTTTCTTTATTTGAGAGAGCATGAGAAGGGGAAGGGGCAAAGGGAGAGGGAGAAGCAGGCTCCCCACTGAGCAGGGAACCTGATGCGGAGCTCTATCCCAGGATCCCAAGATCATGACCTGAGCCGAAAGCAGACGCTTAACCAACTGAGCCACCCACGTGCCCCCAAATTTCCTCCATTTTCAATGAATGAGAATTATTGGTATGGTAGATTGTTCCTCTTTCTTGGAGGCTTATTAGAAAGTTGATATTGGGATTGAGAGTACATTCTTTCTCTTATTAGGAGTACACAGTATCTTCTGCAAACAAATTAAGAATTTACTGTTCAGAGGGTTGTGCAGTAAGAAAATATGAGACTTGTGCTTTGGTGCAGTAATGCTTAGAGATCTCTTGTACCTTTTTGAGATGACCAAAGTACAGAGCAGTTCTATTAGAATAGACTGATTTCTCTTTCCCAAGACATTGAATGGTGAGTAAGAATTTGGTAGGTGGAGAGTAGGTAGAGAAGATATTTTAGGTATGGAAGAAGCAGCCTGAGTAACAGTTAGTGACTGTGGGCAGGGGTGAGTGTGTTATGACTGTAAGCAAGTTGGAAATGGTGGCGGGTTGCATTGGGGATGTCTGCTGTCCTCACGCATGGACTGAAAAACTTAAAAATGGATGCAGTTAAGGTTGAGACCACTCATGCAAACAACTGACATCAGTAATATGGAATTTTCAGTTTGGTCTAGTCCTAATCATATTGTACAGATGAGGGAACACACCGATATTATAAGTGACTTGGCAAAGGCCATATAAGTAGTTAGGGGCAGAATAAGACTCGGTAATGATTTTTTTAATGTTTTATTTATACTGAATAGCATATGGCTTATTAAATAGTTTTCTCAAAATTTACTTGGCAATGACCCATTGAGTTGGGAGAGCTGATACCATTATTGTTGTAGATGCTGCTGATGAGAGGGAGGTATTAAATGACCTTCAATATGTCTACCAAATCATGCGTGATGCCCATAGTTAGCAGGTTAAAGTGCTGAGCTAATAGCAAGAGCCTAAAACTCAGCAAGTCTGTTGGAGACTGAATTGGATGTTATGAGGAAATGATCTCTTTAAAAAAAGAGAAAGAAAAAAGAGACCGCTCTGTATACAGAACAGCCTTTGAAACATTGAACTGTTGTGATCTAGGCCAAGTAGTATATTTGAGCTCTTGCACATTTTGGCCATGTCTCTCCAAATTAGCTAGATTTATGTACCTATTAGCAGATCTCCTACTGAAACTTAAACTTGTCAGTGACATAACTGGATTTTTATGAATTAGAAAGTACCTGAACTGGTTTTAGAGACTGGGAGAGCATCTTTAGGCTACAGATAAAAGTGAACTTTGTGATAATGTTAGGAAATACAATTCTTGGCATGTGGCAAGTGCTCAAATATTTGTTGAATAAAGTTCTGGATAAAAAGCACTTGTGAAAATGGTGTTTCTGATCCTATCACTGTTTTGATAGTAATTAAGAATACTTATGATATAAGTAGGGTGATAATCTATTTTTAAAATAGATCACATGTTTGGGGCACCTGGGTGGCTTAGTTGGTTGAACATCTGACTCTTGATTTTGGCTTGGGTTATGATCTCAGGGTTGTGGGATGGAGCCACACATCAGGCTCCACACTGGGCAGAGGAGCCTGCTTGGGATTCTCTCTCCCTCTCTAAAAAAAAAAAAAAATCACGTTTGGTACGAATTACAATACTATTTACATATCCATTTATAGCTGTCTTTTAAAAATTCATCCCTTTCAAGATGGTCCATTGAAAAAGTGTTTCAACCCTTATACGAATGTATGTTTTAATAAACTCAAGATGAATGATCTGCTAATGAACTCATATTCGGATTACATTTGAGTTGTATGTGTGTGGATTCTCCTGCCTCTAATACATCTCAAAAGAAGGGTTATTTGATTTGAACAGTACTAAATTTTTCTACCTATATTTTTTCTTCACTTTCATAAAACAGAAAGTTGCAACTTTGTGGGCATTATTCTTTAGGGCACTTGAAGCATGACTGAAATGGCTTTAAGTAACTGCTCCCCCCCCACCCCCACCCCGCCCCAAGGAAGTGACTTCTTAAACTCCCAGGTAGAAGAATTTTCATTCAGGCATTAGCATTCTAGTAGTAGTCTTGAAATTGAAGTAACTACTTGTCTTTGACCTCTTTCACAAAGAAGACAGTGGTTTTTTCAGAGACATTTAGCAAGAGAGGAAAGGAGAGGCAGATGTGGCTTTTGAGTTTTGAATCTTTCAGTCCATCCACTAGATGTCTCTTTTTCTCCCCTCATCTGTGAATGAATATATTCCAATTAAATTTGCTGCTGTCAAAAAGCAAGTTGGATCTAAGTTATGGAAATAACACATTTCATGTTTCCATTTAAAGTGTGCCATTTTCAGCAACATACCCATGATTTCAGTAAAAACAAAGATGTTCCTTAGGCTGTGACAGTAATTCAGTGGAATTTATTCAGCAGGATCAGTTTGGAACGTTTTATATGCTCAACACTGTTCAAGGTGTGTGGGGATATAATAGGCAAAACAGACATGTTTTTGCCTCCTGGAACTTTAAAAGAATGTTCAGGCCACAGCAAAATATATTAAAACTTCAATCTGAGAACCATCATCATTTATATTCTTGTTTTAAGGAAAGCCAGAAAAGGT